TCGAAGGGGGTCGCTCCTCACGCCGAGGTCCCTTAGATCGGTACTGACGAGTTACCATAGGTTGGAAAGTCCTCGAAGGAGGTACTTCACATGCCGAGGTCCTTTGAACCGGTAACGATGAGGTACCAAAGGTACCACAGGTTGGCCCTGGATGAGGTGTTGCTAGCTGCCCTACCGAGGTGCCCGAGCTGTGTATGAGGTGCCCTAGACTTATTTTGGGGTGCCTCTCCTTGACTTGGTGAGATACACGACTATCCACGTGGCGCTGATAGGGACGGCAATTTTCCTGTCCCTGATGGGTACTTGGGCTCCCCTATCCGACAAGGTCGGGTATGGGGAGTGGTTTGGCAGGGTTGGGGATGGGGCTAACACTGAATCCCTGATTGGGTTCGGGGAAGGGGATGGGGAATGCAATCCCCGTCGTGCCCCAACCCCGATTTATATATATATATATACATTATTCATAAAATATTTATATTATTATATTATATATTATTTAATTGACAAATAACAATTTCAATTAAAAATTAATTAAACATTACACAAGTTACAAAAACTCAAAGTAAAAAAGTAAATGACTTTCTTCTACTACCACTCGAGAGACAAAGAAGAAAAAACAGAGGTGGCGGCTAAAAGCTTGAAACTCAAAACCCTAGTACCTTACTCTTCTTCTTCCATTGATTTGTTCTTCCTTCTTCGTCTATCGTTCCCGACTACCGTCGCCTGTCGGTACTCTCTCTCTCTCTCTCTCTCTCTCTCTCTCAGGTGAGGCAACACTGCAACTTGCAAGCCCGCAATGGTCCTCTCTCTCTTAATCTCTCTTTCTCTCAACTTAATGCTTTTGATTTCTGATTTTTGAAGTCTCAAACAGATTACAAATGTGAGATGTTACATATCTGAATCTACTTCAGATCCGAATCTACTGTAAGTCGCAAGTCTGGAGTCTCTCCCTCAAGTTGGGGATCGGGCATAGGGATGGAGGATGATTTGGGGGTCGGGTCAGGAATGGGGGATGATTTGAGGGTTGAGGTTAGAGATAGGAAATATAATCCTCACCCCGTTGCCATTCCTAGGCACTGAGGTGTGATGAAGACGAATGCCACGTGTGATTAAGTCGGTGGAATGTCAAATGACCCCTCATCAAGCACAATTGAACGAAAGCTAGTCTTACTTTTATATGCTATCCTCGTTGTATTATTAAGCATGCAAATACCAAAAAATTAGTATTAAATAAACAGCCGGCATATGGGGAGCACGTGCCTTCTACTACTTTATAATTTAAATAAACAAGCTCTCTCTCGCTCGATCCCATTCACGTGAGGACAACTCACGAAATTCTCAAATGGAACTTGCATGCTATTCCCATTGACCTCAATAAGCGTGAGCTGAGTTTGCTTTCAAGGAATGATGGTGGTGCCGTGGTAGCCACTGGTCACATACATCTCTGATCTGATCCGATCCTGTAGAGGAGCAGGGACGAGAATCCTGATCCTCTTAATTATTCAATTTCCAATCCCCATGTAACCCGAAAACCGTAAACCCAAAGCCATCTACATCTAACTAATAAATAGTTATGTTCATCCATCTAACTAATAAATAGCTATATATGTACACGTACGCTGGTAGTCGTAGATATATGCACATCCAGATGGAGACCAATTTTATTACCAGCTACTATCAAATATATAACTTTAAACGACGACAAAGGAAATTTCCTTTTTTTCAATACAAGATCGATGGTCTTTTCTCTTTTGAACGGATAAAGTAATTTGTTTGGGCTATATATGCACTTATCCTCCTTTCTTTGGAATTTGGATGCTACTACCATACAGCATGGAGTTTCGCATCATAAACGTGGCAATCAATGCATACTATTTATCAAAATCAAAATCATGGATGGATTTTGATTTTGATCGATCAAAATTCTTTAATCCTTTCCAGCGTCATAAATTTTCCTTAATTTCTCCGCATCACTTCATCCGGACTTGGAAGTGCTAATAAATCCTCCGGCAACCGTGATTCGTGAGCCAACCAGCAATATTGGAGGAACACACTTCACTGTAACTCACAGTACATGCGTTCTAGAGACTAGAGGTGTCTGTGCCAAAAAACTTGCTACGTGTCCTCAAATTATGGTATAGCTGAAACTGAAAGTCGACACATCAGAATGTACTGTAGAATTCACATCTGTGCCCCACAACGTTTTATATCACATCTCCACCGTGTATTGAGATGATAGTACCAGAAATAATGATATCATCATCCGGAGATGTTCCCAATACATGGCGAAAATGTGCTATGGGACGTTGTGAGGCACAGATCTGGACTCGTGTACCGTGTACGGACTAGCAAGTTTTCTCTCATTGAATTCCCATCTATGCCCCACAAATTTCCCACAGGATATTCCAACAGTGTATTGGGAACATCTTACTCCCAAATGTGGGGCACAGATGTGATCAAGTTTTCTTGTAGAGTTAGGATCTTTGGCTAATAAAACACATTCTAACCCTCTGCCAATATGATCTAACACCGCATACCTCATCATGAGATTAGGTCGTATGAGATGTGTGGTCTGAGGTTGCTGGAATGTATTTTATTGGCAGGTGATCCGGACTCTTATTGTAGGATAAATAATGCAATGATGGGCTTTTAGGTTGATTCTCTATGGTTACCGTGGCCCATGGGAAGCAAACACGTGGCAGATTTTATATGGAGGTCCTCCACAGACAATCCCTATTCATCGGGTCAGTAAATCAAGCATATTGTATAAAAATCCTTCCTTGATTATTCCAATGGGATGGATCATGGATGCTCAAGTTCAAATTCGGGTTTTCACACAATTTGAAGTCGGGTCTGTGGAGGCATACTCAGATTCCAGAGTGTCACCTCACCCTTATCCGACCCACAACCAATGACACCCCAGTTGCAAAAGTATAACACAGGCAGCTGGGGGTGAATTACTGAATTATTACAACAACGCAAACTGCATAAAGGTTGTGTGAATTACGAATCATGAAAACAAGAGAAACAGCAACAAAGACAAGAGGGACTGACTGAATCTGGTGGTCAAAAAAGATCGGCCCATAAAGTTTGTGTCCTTTCAAGTGGCTCAAACTGTCGGATTCGGATGTTTGGGTTAATAATGGCAATATCATGATGATTCATGTATGGAAGATATGTGTAGTGTAGTCAAACTCTCGAATCAAGGCTTTGTGTTGTAAAGGGTCTCTATGTTATTCGTGGTTATTGCCTATTAGTCCATATATATATATATATATATATATATCGTCATCCCTTCCCTCCCATTCCCATGATCCCATTGATCCCATCTCATGGCCATATATTATGGTCATGGATGGTAAATCTCTTGCAATGCAAATGCAGACCATGTGCTGGAGTGGTCCATTACCATTAGGCAATTAGCTTTTAGCTTTAAGTCGGAAGGATTTAGTTTGCAATAAATTTATCTAAGCCGCGTAATTTTCTTATTTAATATTATTCACTTCATGGACATGGACCATGACCAACCATATATAATAATAATGATAATAAACCCAACAAGACAACAATATTTAGTGGACCAGTTCACCCAGACCCAGCCCAGATGCTCGAACCGGAGGACGGGCAGATCTATTAGCTGATCCAGTGTAGTAGTACTATCTGTATCTTTTACGGGTTTGATGGGTGGACATTGGACAACGCCCACATTATTATCCTTTTCTCCACTCTCCTCTCCTCTCCTCCTGTACACTTAGTTACATTACACATACAAGATGCTAATAATTAATTAATGTTAATGTTTGTAATTCCTCCCGACTCCTTGTTTTTATATGTAGATATAGAATAAATGCAAAATCTGACGAGGACACGTGCTTCCATAGACCAATGGAAATGGTAGGACCACATTCCCTTACGACGAGTTACCGTCTTTGCCTTGTATCTATCTATGTATATTAATATGTTTCCTTCAATGGAGCCTTGATCAATTAATCCTCCTCTTCTTGTTTCGTTCCTTGTTAAGCCTAAAATTTAAAAAGGAAAGAAAAGAAAAAACACGACGTCGTCTTTCACTCCGAAAAACCTTTTATAGGTTTAATTTGAAAGGAGTATATTTTGTATATATTTATAAGTATTTATACTAAAAATAAGGGGGGAGACCGGAGAGGGACTGGGGGAGGCAATGTGGATGTTATGTAGAATTAATCATATTTTGTTGCCAAACATGAGATACCCACCTCCACCCATCATAAAAAAAAAAAGAAAAAAAGAAAAAGAGAGTATTCAAAATTTCAAACTTGAAACTTGAAAGCAAAGGACGCAAGGCAAAGCAATGGTGGGTCAATAATTGCCGTAACTAATTACTCATTAATCATATATCCAACTATTGGTAAATGATCGTAAATTAATGACCTGGCTTAATTTTTTTATATCATTATGGGATTGAGGCATAAATATGTATATATATCTTGTGTAAAAAGCATAAAAGCATGGATGGATGTTGGGATCATAGATTACTCATTAGGCATTAGCTGCTCTCTCTCTCTACTCTAACCATCATCATGGATCATAATGTAATGCTTCTTCACTAATCATTATTATTATTATATTTATTTGTCTACCAAAATAAAATAATAAATGCAGAGTCACTGACCCGGCCGGGCGGCCGACGATCATCCCAACTCCCAATAACAAATATCTTAAGGTCAACGAAGGGTGTCATAGTAATTTTGACTCATATCTTGATTAATGGGGTTATTCAAAGATCAATTTTATCCTATTCAATCGGATGGCTCAAATTGCCGGTGTGAGTTATCAGTGAGAGATTGAGAGGAGACACCAACTAAACTGTTTCTACTTATACCCAATAAGCACCAAGCAGTAAAACTAAAATTACACTGAGCCCAGGTGTGGATGTGGTAAACTGGTAATAAACCGACAAGACAATGTATTATTATGTGATATGTATAACCAACCGTATATATAGGGATAGGGATGGCAAGGAGCGAGAGCTCCGTAGTCACTACTCACAACTGCACCAAATACAGATCCACGACTCTCTCTCTCTCTCTCTCCAAGAACATCGTCAGCTATACTTCTCGCTTTGTAACTACTATTGCATTTTCTGCCACAGCCCCCCCCCTCTCTCTCTCTCTGTGTTATCCATGGTCTTTCTTTCAGATTCGTCGATATGAATCGCATCTCAAGGGATTCTTTGGCCGGAGGGAGGATTGTTCCGGCGGGATCGCAACTCCGGAGAGGTCGGAGCATCGCTGCCATCTCGAGAGATACGGATGAAAACTTGGATCTCTTCTCCAGGAACCGCCGGAGCCTCCCCATCACTTCATCTGACGAACCAGACGGTACGGATCTCACCGCCTGACTCTCGGTTTGAATCTCCCGGATCTTTTCCGTTTTCTATCTTGAATCGACTAGAATACCCCCTCTAAACTTATCTTATTCTTTTGATAGTAGTGGGATTGAGGTCACATATAGGAGCATTGTGGTCATTTTCTATTAATATCCTGAAATTTCTTTTTTGGCAGGCTGTTCTTGCTATTTGATGTTGATTAAGATTAGGTTGATGTTCCTAGGTGCACCTGTGCAAATTTAGATGGCATCCGTATTTCTTCGCTAGAACTTTATATTTACTATAGTATTATTTTCTGGCCTAAGAATGATGTTAAATATTTTTCTCACTTTTTCGTTTTTATTTGATTCTACAATTTATTTATCATTATTATTTTCTGTTTGTCATTTCGCCCTTTATAACTCTAGTTGCTTAGTTAAATACTTCAGGAGGAACGCCAAGTCACCAATGTTTGATTTCCTCCTGATAAATTTTTGAGAAGAAATTAGTCAAAGTCAAATTTGTTATTTTGATATTTTCTTAAGAAAAAAATATCATATTTGTTAATAGCTCTGGTTATGAATGCCTTCAGTGTCGACGAAATTGGGGAGAATATCGGTTGGACCAGTAAAACTAGCGAGGAATGGAATCGACGATCTACTCTCTTCAGTGGATGGGGGAAAGCATGATTATGACTGGTATGCGTTCTGTCCATAATTTTCTCCCTGATGTAATTTGTATGCTTGTTATCTTTCGGATCACTTTTTGTCATTTACTTGCTTGCTAGCTTTAATAGTTTCATTCCTATATTGAATAAAGTTCTCTCCATCTCTCTGGTTGGCCATGGTGGTCTTCTATTCGCTAATTGCATTTTCTATTTAGCTAAGTGCTAACCAGTAAGAGACAATGGGAATTCAATTCCTCTTGAAGTCTAGATCCTTAATATGGTAAAATTTGTTAGTGTGAGGTCCGACAGTGCTAGGATCTTCTTGCCTGAGAATGTTGTTGGGTGTTTCTCATCGTATTATTTGGTCTATAGAGGCTATGATCAAGTTATTGCTCCTAGCCCAACAAACCTGAGTCAATTCTCAACCAAAATGAGTCTGTTTTGCAAGTTCCTTTTGTACTCATCTAGTTGTGGAATCACATTTCTGTGAAAGAATCTTCTTTTTTCACAATGGCATAGTATGGAAATGAAACAATCTTATTTTGTTTCTAAGTCTTTGAGGTTGATGATATAATCTTACCACCGACAAGTATGGTTGTATATATGTTCTTCTTTCCCTTAACAAATAGGTGTAAGTATATTCTTAGATAGATGATTTATAATTAGAAAATTGAACTCAAACTAGCATTTGACAGCTAATGTTTGTTTCCTTTAATTTCCATGAATAGGCTTCTCACCCCTCCTGAGACACCTCTTTTCTCTTCATCAGATACAAGTGAGTCCCCTCCAACCTTACTGGCTCCAAGAAGCAGTTCCTTGGTTAGATCAGTTTCCACAACTAAGACTTCAAGGGTACATGTTTCAATTTCTTCTTGTTCATCACTATTCACTTTGATCTAAGTTATAAATTTATTTATTCTAAAACTGCAATGGTGTACATCACCTTCATAACTGTTTCTCCTCCCTCCTCTTGACTGTTTTTGTTGCCTAGGGGAGAGCATGAGTGCAATCTGGTCATAATTGCTACTACCCGTCTAATCTACTGTAGTCTTTTGAAATTTGAACACATAAAAAAGAACTTAGTTTAACCATTGGCAATATAAAATAATCTTTATATCTGATGGTTATGCTCTTCCAATTTGATAAACTAGTGAAGCTTCTTATATGATTTACGGAGTGATGGGACCCCTTAGAGGTCTTCTATATATATGGAGGGGAGTGTGACATGTCTGATTGGTTCTAACTGGAGTATTCCCTCTTAAAAGTTTCCACTTAAACTAAACTGTCTTTTGATTCCCTTGTTGATCAGCAAGGTTTTAAGCAGAGGTCTTCAATTAGGCAACTCAACTCAAAGATAGGCCTTCCAGTGGATCAGATCCAGTTTAAGTTGTGCTGTTCGACTTGCTTTGGCTTTGGTTTAAATCCAACTTAGTCCAGTTCTCCCCATAAAGTGTCTCTTATCATCAGCGGTGCCACCTTCCCAGCAAAGACTGTTATTTACAATGGCATAGTTGTCAAGGTGTCTAGGCGATTCTAGGAGACAGTGGGGTGCCTAGGTGTTAAGAATTTCATAAAAGAAAGGGAAAAAAAAGTTTTGCGTAGTTCCCTAACTTTATATACCATCCAGCATACATACTACTTAATTTAGTAACAACATTAATTTCCTCACGGCAAATCAACATATCTAACAATAGTACCTCAAATATACTAATTTCAATACTTCAAAAAATAATACCAATATAATCAGCATTTAATGGAGCAATTTCATGTCAAATTAGCAACTAAAAAATGTTATTATTTTATATGATAAAATTTAAGATAGTAAGTAAAAGATACAAAGAACAGGGTACAGCTTCTCCTTTATTTAATGTGTCTGTGAGAGAGAGAGAAACCTCTTTGTGTTTCTATGCTTTATTTATTTTCCTCTTCTCAAAAATAGTAAATAGAATATGCATGGCTAATTTCTTATTTTCTCTTTCTTTCAGCTTTCTATGACACACTCAGAGAACAACTATTCATCAAGACCAACAAGAAGTGGTTCTGTTACCCGTCCTTCCATTTCTACCATGCACTACACTACCTACTCATCTAGCTCCAACAGATCTTCCTCAATTCTCAACACAAGCTCAGCATCAGTCACATCTTCATCCAGGCCATCCACCCCTACTACCCGCTCTACTACGAGACCTTCCACCCCATCTGCTCGGCCATTGTCATCGCGACCATCCACACCAACCAGATCCCATCCTGGCCCCAACATCTCTTCCGTTGATAAGCCAAGAGTGTCCCAAAACTCAAGGCCTTCTACCTCAAGTTCTAGGCCTCAAGTCTCTGCAAACTTAAGTTCTGCATCTCGACCAAACTCACGGCCATCAACTCCTACCCGTCGAACCCAAACAGCAGCTCCAGGGCCAGCTCCAGTGGTAGCTCGCTCAGCATCTGTTGGGCGGGTCCTTCCAAATGGCCGAAGCACAGCACCTGCTTCCCGAGGAAGCTCCCCAGGCCCAAGGGCCCGGCCATCACCACAGCCTATTGATCTTCCTGATTTCCCACATGATACACCACCAAACCTGAGGACCACATTGCCAGATAGGCCCATTTCTGCTGGTAGGTCTCGGCCAAGTGTTGCTGTCACGGTCAGGGGAAACTTAGAGACATCTGGGCCTGTGAATCCACCAAGAAGGCAGTCATCACCTATTGTTTCAAGGGGAAGACTTGCAGAACTTTCAGGGAGGGGCCGCTTGCACACCAATGGACATGATGTTGAGGCACCTGAATTGCAGAAGACACCGCCAGTGTTGGAGCCTACAGTCCGGAGACTAACAAAACCCACAACTACTAGTGAGAGTACTGGATTTGGAAGAACAATCTCAAAAAAGTCACTTGACATGGCTCTCAGGCATATGGTATATCTCTTGTTATAGGAGGAAAACAGAAAGTACAAGTGTGGATGTCAGGAGACTCCATTCTGACTTTGCTGTCATTGACTCATGGAAGTTCCATGCAAAGTCGGACTGAAGCCCAAGCCATTCAGTCTGCCATGCTGATATTCCTGAGTAATATTTTTAAATTCTCAAGAAATATCTTTGTGTGCATATGATATATGCCAACATATCTGATATCCCTCATATATAAAATGGTTAGAAATCTTCCACAGATCCAAATTCTGACCAAGCAGGACTTTAAAGGGGTTGACTACTTTTTACCCCATCTGTTTATTAAACTTTGAGGTTAAATCTACATTATTACCTCTTAACTAAAAGTTCTTTATTCTTTAACGCAGGACATCCGAAATGGCACAGGGAGCGTCCGTTCTCTGTCTGGAACTACTCTTTTCCCTCAGAGCATCCGCAGTAACCTAAAAAGCCAACCTATTCGTGTCTTGGATGCTTCGTCTTTCCTCAGCAGTAATGGTGCCCCACCCGCCAGCAGTAATGGAGGCATCTCAGAGAATGGAAACTGTATTGATAAGTCCCTGCATAATGAGGCTGAGGAAGGTGATGGTCGGCTTTCAGCAAAACTGAGTCAAATGGACATTTACGAGAGCTCCCGTTATGATGCAATTCTGCTCAAAGAGGACCTGAAGAACACTAACTGGTTGCACAACGTTGATGATAAGTCTGATAAGGGGATCACCTTCGATCACCGGTTTGAGCCACTTCCTGAGCCATTTGGTCTTCTATAATCTCTAAAATGGCTGTGATGTTGATGCCCTTTTTCCTTCGTTTCTTTTATTTTTGTTTTTAGTTATTATTTTTCCAAGATGGAAACCATCAAACTGTCTCTCTCTCTTTCTCAGGTTGTCCCTTTTGGTAGTACGACTTCATTTGTACCATAAGGGTTTTATGTTTTGTACCCTTTGTATAAAAAGTAAAACAGTAAATAGAGAGGATGATGATGAAATAATATTTCAGTGAATCTAAGGTAGACACTAGAGAGTAATTGTCCAGGTCTTATTGCAGATTTGTGCAAAGTTTTTATTTATTTATTTTTCACTGCCAAGTTTCAGCAAAGGCACGACTCTCGAGCCATAAATCCCACAATCATACCAACTTTGAATATTTTTGCCTCTATAATCTTAATTATCTATTTAAAAGACTTTTTTATGACTAATGTTTTAGACGAATGTACTTTTTATATCGCATATAATAATTATTATTTATTAAACTTTGTTTATTTTAAATTGTCTAACCTTTTAGATGATTATTAATGAAATTTATAGTATCAGTTTGTTAAGCTATGCATATGTGTATATCAATGTTACCGTGGACATTCCTAGGGTTGTCAATGGATTGGTTTTGGGTTGGACCCCAACCAATCCGAAGGTGTTATGGACGGACTGGACGGTCTAAATAATTGTATGGACTCGGACCAGTCCAAATTTAAGTGGTCCATATATAATGCGGACCGAATTTGGATAAACTGCTGAATCAAAAAGTCTCCTAGCGCTCCACAGCTCCCGCCGATAGTTGAACGAAGAAGAAGGTTTCTCTCTGGCAGTGGTATTCCTCGAACTCTAACAGAACATCACCTATGAACTGTTTTTGAACTACTGCGCCAACACAAACTCTTTCTGAAGCGGCTCAAATGTTCTTTCGGGGAGCGCCAGGTTCTTTATTTGGGACATATAATCAGTGGGCAAGGTGTCACAGTGGATGGCTCCAAAATCCAAGCAATTCAGGATTGGCCCAAACCTCAATCCGCCAAGGCTCTCCGCGGGTTCCTAGGACTACAGGGTACTACTGCAAGTTTGTGCAAAATTATGGATTATTGGCTGCCCCATTAACCAATATGCTAAAGAAGAACGCATTCCAATGGGATGAAGCAGCTGACACCACCTTTGCGAACTTAAGGGATGCCCTCTCCTCCACACCCGTGCTGCAGTTACCAAAATTTGACCCGGAATTTACGATTGAATGCGATGCATCCGGTGTAGGTATTGGAGCAGTACTGCAGCAGTAAGGACATCCAATAGCCTTCTTTAGCCGCAAACTGGCTGACCGGCATCTAAAGTTACCAGCCTACGAGCGCGAATTGATTGGGCTATCTAAGGCCGTGCAACATTGGAGGCCATACTTGTGGGGAAGGTCCTTATTCGTCAAGATTGATCACTACAGCCTCAAGTATCTACTGGAGCAGCGGCTTACCACTTCGCCTCAACAGCATTGGGCGAGCAAACTGCTCGGGTTTGATTTCCGGGTGGACTACAAGGTGGGGTCCTTAAATCGGGCCGCATGCTATGCTCCTTTGTGCGATTTCACGGCCCCGTGTCACCCTGTTAGAAGGCATTAAAAGCACACTGCCCCAATCACCGGAATGGAAGGACCTTGTTTAGAAAATACAGTACGAAACGACCAACCCGAATTGGTCCATTCATGACGGGCTGGTGCTATACAAAGGACGGATATACCTCCTAGCCGACTGTTCCTTAATTCCCTCCGTCATCTCCAGCATACATAACTCCCACACATGAAGGCATTCAAAAGACATTGCATCGCGTCCAAGCCAATTTCCATTGGCCTGGCATGAGGACTTCGGTTCGGGACTTCATCCAGAATTGCTCCACGTGCCAACAACAAAAATGGGAAAACTTGCACCCGGTAGGCCTTCTCCAGCCTCTTTCACTCCCAACACAAATCTGGGCTGATTTCTCTATGGACTTTATTGAGGGCCTACCCAAGGTTGGCGGGAAATCGATCTTATTCGTGGTGGTGGATCGCTTTTCCAAGTATGCCCATTTCATTCCCTTGTCCCACCTATATAGCGCAGTTTCAGTTGCCCATGTTTTTTTTACACATATTTTCCGTTTGCATGGGCTACCAGAATCCATCGTTAGTGACAGGGACCCGGTTTTTACTAGCATCTTCTGGAAGGAGCTGTTTCGGTTGCAGGGTACAACCCTAGTTTTTTCCTCCGCCTACCACCCTTAGATAGACGGGCAAACAAAGGTGGTAAACCGTACGATAGAGATGTATCTCCGTTGTTTTGTGGGTGACCAACCACGGTGGTGGGTTGATTGGCTTCCCTGGGCCGAATACTGTTACAACACAGCCTATCATTTTTCTCTTGGCATGACACCATTCCGGGTCGTCTATGGTTGGGACCCTCCCCGCCTACTGTGCTACGAACCCAATTCGACGCGGTTGGATGAGATTGATCGTGGCCTACAAGACCGCGATGCCCTCCTGGCCGAAGTCTCTCTCCGCTTACAGCAAGCGTAGGCGTGCATGAAGAATGCCTATGACCAGCACCATCGGGAATTAACTCTCGAACCAGGACAGTTCGTGTGGTTGAAGCTCCAGCCCTATCGGCAGCACTCCCTAAGACGCAGGGCTCCCCCTAAATTGGCTCCCAAATTTTACGGGCCCTTCAAGGTTTTGCGGCGGATTGGGAAAGTTGCATATCAGCTCGAACTTCCAGAACACAACAAACTCCATGATACTTTCCACGTATCCTTGCTCAAGCCATTTACAGGTACTCCTCCTGATACAGTACCTCCCCTACCACCCTTAAAGGATGACAGACTCATTCTCCAGCCCTGAGCTCTTGTTCGATCCCGAGTCAATCGGGGTATTCTCGAAGTCCTGGTGGAATGGGACGACCTACCATCAGCCGAGGCCACCTGGATCCCCTGGAGGGGTGTAATGTTGTGGATGCGTTCGTGGGGAAGACATACCGCCGCCGGTAGCAGCATTGATGAGGGGCCCACATGGGCAGCAACTTATCTTATTAGCTTATCTTATCCTTAGCCAGCAGCAGCTTATCTTATCCTTAGCAGTTTCTCTTATCTGTTCTTATCTGTTTCTTACTTTATCTATTAGAAGAGTAGTAGGAGTTTGATTTATCTTAGGGGAGCCTTATCCTTCCCAAGTTAGGAGTCTTATCTTTAAGCAGTCGAATTCAACAAGGAGTCTTCCTACAAGGACGACTCTCACCTCTTGTAATCTCCTATTTAAGGAACTGCGATCAGAGAGTAAGGCATCCAAAATTTCAGTCAAAGAGAAGAGAGTAAAGGAGAGTTAGGGTGATCTCTTGGGCAAATCACCCCTTAGGTCGCGACGATAGGGTCTGCACGCAAAGGGAGGGGCAAGGGGAAACTAGAGGTTCTCCCCGTGGACCGACCAGTGACGAGATCCTACGCCCGGGCCCATAACAGTACAGGTGAATAAATTGGCATGAATTACAGAGACAAGATGAAATGGTGGAATATTTCCTTGGTTAGTGTTATGCAACAAAGCCCAGATAGTTGTTGGGTTAATCATATAGTGCAATATTTTATTTGAATATTAAACACAAGTTCCCCTGTAAATCTCCTGCAACAAAAATAAATGAGAGAAACATTCAAACAGACACACAGACAGACAATGAAAACGAACATTGCTCACTTGGTTGGTCAAATCTGATTGCAGTAGGAGACTGCAGATTGGTGGTGATAAGTTGGATGGAAAATGAAGGCCCTTAGGCACTCCATCAGGAGAGAGATGAGAGAAGCCTAGTGGTTAGTGTCCAATTTGAATTGGTTGTTCAAGTGGATACCTTGATCAGCAAATACTTCAGTTGATGTACTTCTGGTATATTGGTTTATATACCAGGGCAAATATACCAGGGCCTGGGTTTCAGATTTGATGTACTTCTGGTATATCGGTTTATATAATTTTTTGTACTCGTGAGATCTTTACCTGTTTGTACCGTCTTCTCTCCATCCTTTCAGGTACTCAGAAGTTTCTATTTTTAATTAATACAATTCGAGGTTACTGATCAAAAAAGAAAGTTAATGTTCTTAATGATTGATATTTAACAGTAGTTTTTTCAATTTATGTTTTTATTGACTTGTACTCTTTCATATTGTCAGATTGCAGCAACCATCATGCCAGAAGATTATCGACACAAAAGGTATTTCTATGCAACCCCACTTCTTGACTATTAAATTATTTCCTGAATTCGTTTTTTTCTAGCCCTTCATTCAGAATAGATGTCAAAGCAACCCCACTTCCAGATTGTTCAGCATGCACTTTAACCATGATTTCTTGACATGACATATCTAGTGACTATTGGTATGTTGCAGGTGTGGATCCTCTGTAATGACTGTAATGATACTACTGAAACATTCTCACATTATTGGGAACAAATGCTGTCATTGCAATTCCTACAACACGTATGATTTCCCCACCAGTTCTTCCTCGATGACCAGATTTTGCACTTCCAAATCCAGTCAACTAGGTGCACTTCTCATACATTGGTAAGCCAAGTTCATCCTTCATGTTACTAGCTGAACTTCACCTTGAAAGTTGGTTGCAATTGTAGTCAGGTGGCTTCCACCATTTCTTAAAAGCTTAGACAAATATTTATTAACTCATTCCAGCATTACAATCATCATTCAAAATCAGCTCTCTTCTCATGTCTAGGTATAAGCTTAGACAAAATTATCGAACTCGAGTAACAATGACAGTGATTTCATATTAAGATCAAAGGAAATGTTACTATTTTGCTTTAAGAATATATCCCAAATTTGATGAACTTCTTGCCTAAAACTGGGAGGCAACCTGCAATCAGTAGAAAATAAGTAGTTCCCAGAGTGTGATGATAAACTATGGCCCATGAATTCAACCAAAACTTCTGTTGTTTTTGTTTTTTCCAGTTCTGTTATTTTGGTTTTACAACTTCTGTTTCGGTTTACAGGTTTGGAATTTCAATTGTCAGTATTTCTATTTTACTATTATATTTCTCCTTCATTTTTAGATCTCCATGGTCCACACACCAAATAATTTGTTTTCTGTTGTATTTTTCTCTGTTAACCGAAACAGGGGGAGGATCGTTGATGGAGATGAGTCGGAATTTTGCCTTGATACACCAAATATGAGTGATAATGAAGATGTTTAGTGGATCAAAAATATTTGTACATTATGCCTATTAATAGTAAAGAGCTTTACTGAAGACGAAATGTACTCTGGACAATCACTGTTAAGTAACTGTAAATTTCATTTTTTTGCCTTTATGGTGATATCTTTCACTCAAAACTGATGGGCTTGTAAATGGTCAGATTAATTGTCTTAAAACTGTTTACTAACTGTACATATGCATTGATAATCATTTTGTTTATTTTCTTAGAAATTAGGCAAATAATTTATTCTTTATTGAGTATTATTTGCTAAGGAAAACATTTTGTTTTTCTTCATTATTTTAGTTGCAACCAAAATATTTTCTAGGGAAAATGATTTCTGAGGAAAACATTTAATTTGGACTGGATTGGGTCTAATCCAATCCATTTGCATTTCAATTGGACCGGACTAGATCCGGTTTGTATGGGGTTTTGTCTGGACTTGGTCCTGTCCATTTGTAAATGGACCAGTATTAGATTGGACCAAATCCAGTCCAATTGACACCCCTAGACATTCGATGGTTTATACATTCCATTTTTATAGTAAATTACACTTTAGTATATATATTAAAACAAAGTGATCAAGAAATTGTCCTTTTTTTGAATTTTTTGTTTTTTTTTATCCCATGTCATTTTTGGAACAACCAATGACATGCACTTTCCCAATCACCTAAATAATATCTTCTTCTAAAATTTATCTTAAACTACCTCCCCCACTTTCTCCAAAATTATCTCTAATTCCTATTTATCCTCTCCCATACTTTTTATCTACATCTATCCAAAGAAAGTTTGGATTAAAAAATTTAACAATTATTTAAATATTCTAACAAAATTATATAATAACTTTAAAATATTTATTAAACATACAAAAAATAATTATTTTTACAATATATATCATGAAATTATGTACTAACAATTTAAATTATGTTTTTCTAGATTATCAATTTAAAAGCTTTTCAAATATTTAATAATATGTAATAGCTTTAAATAAATAAAATTCAAATAACAAAAAAAATCAATATTTTATAGATTATTTAAATATTTAAATAACTAAATATTTATCATAATTATATTTTAAATAGTTAAAATAACGAATTTATCTAATAAATAATTTTATATTTGTACAAAATATATCACGAAATTATGTACTAACAATTTAAATTATGTTTTTCTGGATCATCAATTTAAATTATTTTTAAACATTTAATAAAATGTAATAGCTTTAAATAAATAAAATTAGAATAACAAAAAATTTAAAATATTATATAGATTATTTAAATATTTAAATAACTAGATAATTACCATGACTAGATTTTAAATTGTTAAAATAATAAAATTATGTAATAAATTTAAAATATTTCCTTAAAGAAAAAGATAATTATAACATAAATAAATAATATTTTAAAATTTAAATATTTTACATATTTAAGTATTTAAATAGCTGGGTATTTTAAATAAAAAATATTTAACATAACTATATTTTAAATAGTTAAAATAAAGAAATTATGTAATAAATTTAAAAAAAATTCTAAAAAGTAGAAAAATAATTATAACATAATATTGAAGTTAATAATAATTTAATATTTTTAAATAGTATTGTAAATAAATAATTTCACTTATATCAAGTAATAATTCGAGAAAATAACTTTCAAAAAATATTAATATTTATTAATAATAATTTTAAACTCTTAATCTGTATTTATTATATATATATATACTAAAATTAATATTTATTGTATTTCAGTAATTATTTGTTGTTTTTGTGATAAATGTATTTTCAATGATTATGCATAAATTTATTTTTTTTTGTTATATAATAGAAAACTTTCAATAATTATTGGAGATTAAACTACTATTGGTGAAATTTTTAAATTTAATTTATTGGATTGATTGTATGTATTGTATTTTTGTTATAACTTATTGATTAATATTTATTAAAGATTAAACTATTATTTGAGATTATACTATTTCTTGACTAAATTAATATATTTTTAGTACTTATTGTATTTTTGTAATTATTGTATTTTTTCATTATCAATATATTTTCAATAATTGTGTATTTTTGCTATAAAATTCAATAATTATTGGAGATTAAACTATTGTTATTTATCAGAGATGAGTCTATTAATTTAGTTGAAATTATGAGTGTTCATGAGTTGGTTCGGTTTGGTCATAGGCTATTTGGCCAACCAAATTGACCTGGTCAGGTTGGGGAGTTGGTTAGCTAAAACCGACTGACCTTTTTGTGAAAACCGATCCACTAAAGTTGTTTTGGTTTGGGTCGAATTTTTGGTTTGGTCAGTCAGTTCAAAAGATTTAAACTTAAAAATTAAATTTATTTTTAAAAATTATAGTACAATTATAATTAGATTTATGATATAAAACATTTTAGACTAAGAAATATGGGAAATTTCCCACTTTTCCATATTAAAATTTATATTTAAAATATAATATATATATATATATATATATGGTTAGGTCATTCGATTTTGGTTAGTTTACAAATGGCCAAAGTGAAATTGGTCCAACTTAGTCGAATTGGGAAATTTTTGAACCAAAACCAACCTTAAATAATAGAAAACCGACCAACTCGGGTCAAGTTGATCGGGTTGGTTAGTTTCATCAGTTTGATGAATAAACCTAACTGAAATTAATTATTTTTATTTTTGTATTATAAAAAAATATTAAAAGTAGTATATAAAATATGAATAGTTATTAATTATTTAAAAAGTTAAAAGTATAAAACAATTGTATACTCTTATGTGATTCTATTAGGGTCATTTAGTAGAACACATCTTATAGTTTTACATATTACTTAAACATACCTTATAGTTTTCATTTTATTAAAACATCTCATATATTTCTACAACTTATTTACTTAATCAACCTTTCATTAAGGAGTGTTTATTTTGTCATTAGGCCCATGATTTTTTATTCCAAAAATACCTTTAACACTTTTTTGTATAAAAAACAAAATTAACCAAATATAGCCAATAGTGTGGTTGCCCATGTCTTGTAAAGGGCAAAAATGGTATTTTTATTTTTATTTTATTTTGATTAAATTTATTTAAATGAACATTAGGGTCAACATTATCATTTTCCATTGTCATCTAATGGAAGATTGATTAAATCCATTGCAAATTATAAATGGTGTTTTAGTAAAATTTTAACTATAGGGTAGATTTTAGTAAATCCATGAAACTATAAGGGGTATTTTAGTAAATGACCATTTTTATTATTTAGCTTTTGCTTAATAAATCCCGTGCATCGCACGGGTCCCCGCTAGTAAACTATTAAAATACACACAGATAGTCATTGTATCTATACATATCCAAAATCTAAATACATTTTTTTAATTGCATCTTCAATATTCTTTGTATTTTTTGATACTTTGAATCTTGCACTTAATTTTACATCACATATCAGCTTGTAAGGCATATCGATACAAGTATGACGTATTGGTACTTTTTTTGTGTTTTAGTTATTTTTTCAAAACAGTTCAGAGGGATTGGTTTAAGTCCCGGCTACCCTCTGAACCGATACACCCCCTATAGGGGCATATTAGGAAGGCCCCAATACGATACATAACAATATTTTGAACCTTGCACATAAGTAAAATGTGATGCCCCTATGTGTGTGTGTGTGTGTGCGATGCGCGGGCTTTGTTAAAAGAAGTTGAGGCAAAAGGAACAATTCACAACTAGTTGTAATTTAGTTTATCAATTAATGATGATTAGTGATTGTTTTGCAAAATATAGAAACAATTCACAATTTAAATGTATTGTTGAAATAATGGAAAATAAATAAATAAAATATTTGAAGAACAACTCTCCTCTTTATTGCTTAGCTACAATATTGGATCCTAGGATTAGGAAAGATGGTTTAGATATTTTACTTGAAACATATTGTGAAAATATAAATATTGAAATTGAAAATAAAAAATAGGAAATTAATAGTTTATTATTTGAAATTGAAAATATAAGTATTGTTGTACAAGTGCATCTTTCACTTCTAAAACTAGTTCCAGTAGTGGAAAAGAAAAATTTTGGTCTCTAATAAGTAGGAAGTAGAAATCTACATCCTCTTCATCAGCAAGTTCATTTACTAAACTTAAATTTTATTTACAAGCAAAATTTTCTAGTTTAGGTGATTCCTTTAATTTGGTGGAAATGGATAATTTTAATATTTTAGCCTAGTGGAATTGACATTAAAAAAATTATTCAGTCCTTGTCACCATGGCACGTGATCTATTAACCTCTACAGTGTCTACAGTTCCATCAGAGTTTTGTTTTCAGGTACTAGGGTGTTGGACGACAAGAGAAGTTGATGAAAGTTTGAAGATGTGCATTTGCTTTCAAAATTGGCTGGATGCTGAAGATATATTACAAGACAAAGGAGGACATGACACTACACCTGATGTTTCACTAGAAGCAGATGATCAAAGTTAAGAAAATGGAGGTGCATGTGGAATTTAAAGAAAATAAAGTCAATATTTTTTGTATACTCAATAGTTGTATAGATTTTTTTTCAAATTATTGTAAATTTTGTTTTAATTTTATTTAAATTACTTGATATTTTTCAACAATGTAATTTTTTATATTCAATTTGTAACTGTATTGTATTTTTTATATTTTATTAATTTATTCCATTTTCCATATTTCATTCATATGACCATTGTTTCATTTAAATTTAAATGAAATAAAATTTCTATTTTTTCATATTTATTGTCCACTTTGAGTCTTTGACTTTGTATTTGGTTAAGTATTTTTTTTTTTCATTTTTTTGTTAAATTTATTATTTTTTGGGGTTCTATCCAGTAAATGTAACTTTTCATTCTTAATACCAATAAAAGTAAGACCTTTTATATAATAGGCAAAATTTCATCCCTAAATACCAATAAAAGTAATAATTTATATATAATAAAACAAAGTGGTCAAGAAATTTTCTAAATTTTTGAATTTTTTATTTTTTTTATTCCATGTCACTTTGAAACAACCAATGAGATGCACTTTCCCAATAACCTAAATATCTTTTCTCCTAAACTACCTACCTCACTGTCCATAATTATCTCTAATTCCAATTTATCTTCTAAACTATCTCTAATTTAGTAGAGAGCTTCTCCCCTAAATTATCTCTAATTCCTTTTTATCCTCTCCCC